AATGCTTCTATTTTTTTCTACCTAGCTGCTGGTAATTTCTCATATTTGTCCTTAGCTCTGAATAGGGAGAGGTGGAGGGTAGAGAAGGGAGGTTTTTTGTTTTTTGTTTTTTTTTTAAGATTGATTTATGCATACAAGAGATGGGGTGAAAGTCAGAGGTGCAGGGGTGGGGTGGGGTGAGAGGATTCACCAGAGACAGAGTGGGGAGCAGAACAGGCAGATTGACTGAAATACACTGTTGAGGAGAGCAGCGGGCGAGACAGGAGAGACCTGCTGTGTCATGTGGGTGTCATGGAGGGCCCCTGGAGGGCCATGGTTGAGGACAGCTTCACGGTACTGTGCTTAACCCCTTGCACCACAGGGGAGGCCTGAGAAGGGAGGTGTTTTAGTCCCATATAAGCAGTTAATCTTCCCCTTTACACTTTTATTGCTTACACTGAGAACTCTATAAGCTTGAGAATGTGAGTGCTTATGACCTGCAATATATTTTATAGAATTAAAGTTAGGCTGTCCTGAACTAAGGGTATTGATGGCTAGTGGCACAGTTGCCCAATAGTAAGTGTGGTTTATTTTATTTTTTTTCCCCAAAGATGTATTTATTTATTTATTTTTATTTATGCAAGAACTGGGGTACAGGCCAGAGGTGTGGGGGGTGAGAGGATTCACCAGAGACAGAGCGGGGAGCAGAACAGGCAGACGGACTGAAGCACACTGCTGAGGGGAGCAGCAGGCCAGGCAGGAGAGGTCTGCTGTGCCATGTGGGTGACTTCTCTGGCTGGGGATCGAACTTATGCTGCAGTGGCTGCGGGTAACTTCATAGTGATGTGTATTAAACCACTTGCACCACCAGGGAGGTCCCGCTTAGCTGCACTTTTATGGCAAAACTGACTTAAGGCACAGTGTTATAAAGTCTGTCTTTTTTTTTTTTTTTGGGAAAAGCCCTTCTTTTTTTAAAAGATTGATTGATTGATTGATTTATACAAGAACCGGGATACAGGCCAGATGCACGGGAGGGTGAGAGGATTCACCAGAGACAGAGTGGAGAACAGAACAGGCAGACTGACTGACTGAAACACACTGCTGAGGGGAGCAGCGGACGAGACAGAAGAGGTCTGTCACGCCATGTGGGGCCGGCCGGGATCGATCCTGCGCTGCAGAAGCTGCAGACAGCTTCACAGCACGGCGCACAACCTTACCTGCTCCACCAGGAGAGGCCCTAAAGTCTGTCTTTTTGAAAGTGTCATGAATGAATTATCCACTAGTATAAAAATTTCTTACTTAAAGACTGGCCTGGAGACCAGGCACAGAATTGAAAAAAACATATCATCAGTCTTTGAAATAACTAAGAAGGGATTGGATTCAATAACCTGAAGACAAGCAAGTCTGACTATATAATATTGTTTACTATTTCTACTTTGGTCTGTCATTTAAAAGTTAAAAGTTCTATTCACTTTTTTTTTTCACATTGAAGTGCACAAAAATTTTATCTTTCTTGACCTCAAAATCAATGTGCATAGCTAGAAGCTGCTCTTGATTTGTATTTGCAATTTCAGGTTTGCCTCTAGGTACTAGAGAAAGAGGGATATACTTTCAAACCATGTAACCTGAGGTGAAAGGAGTAGAAGAGATCATATTAATAGATCTTTGTGACCTACAAAGCAGAATCATAGTGATTAGGACTGCATAGTGAAGGTGGCTGCCTGAATGATATAATCCAATCAAAGAGACCATTTTGAAAAGTGGCTTGAAAGCCACTAAGGTAAAGTGATTGTAATCAATCTTATGTTTGTTCACTCAACATATTTTAATGATCCTTCAAGGAACCAGACTGTTCCTCTCTGATGGTACAAACTGATTGAAAACAGTGCTTACACGGACAAGTGGTTGGGGCACAGACAAGGGAAAGACAGCATTGCAGATGGGAGAGATGAGGGAGGTGCCTGACTCCGGCACTATAGGGACAGTGAGTGGGTCTGTTCCAGCTTAATTGTGGAGATCAGGGTGAAAAGAAAAAGAATGGTCTTCATGTATTGGTAGCTTCTGTTTTCCAGGGGCCATGTTAGGAGCGGGGTGCACCCTGGTGAAAAACTTAGATGTGGCCCTTTGGTAGCTCAGAGTGTAGTAGGGAAGACATATTATTCAAGGTACAAATGGAGATCTAACTTTATATATTTTTAAAGATTTATTTATACATACAAGAACTGGGGTACAGACCAGAGGTATGTGTGTGGGGGTGTGAGAGGATTCACCAGAGACAGAGTGGGGAGCAGAACAGGCAGATCTACTGAAATACACCACTGAGGGGAGCAGCGGGTGAATCAGGAGAGATCTTCTGCACCATGTGAGTAGCTCCCTGGCTGGGGATCGAACTCGTGCTGCAGTGGCTGGGGATAGCTTTATAGGTTGTATCTTAACCCCTTGAGCCACCTGGGAGGCCGGGAGATCTAAATTTAATGAAGAAAGATTAGGGGCCAAAAAGAGTCAGTATAAGAGAGGATCTTCCACCATTATTTGGTTAGGGAAAGATTTCTTAAATAAGTCAAATCTAGACCCAAAGAAGGAAAAGGAGTTGTTCAGAAAACTGAGATTTAGGGAGATTAATAATAGCTCTAAGGAAACAACTAATTTTTTTCAGGACCTGCTATTTAACTCAAGTTGGCCTGAGTATACAATCATAATTGTTATTTAATGATTCAATATGTCCTCAGAAAGTAAACTTGTCAAGGTATTTCCCTATATTAACTCTAGCACATAGTAGGCATTAAATGAATTATTACTGAATGTATGCATTTGAATATTGAGACTTTTTTTTAAAGATTTATTTATGTGTGCATATAAGAACTGGGGTACAGACCAGAGGTGTGGTGGTAGGGGGCGTGAGAGGATTCACCAGAGAGAGTATGAAGCAGAACTGGAGGATCTACTGAAATATACTGCTGAGGGGAGCAGTGGATGAGACAGGAGAGGTCTGCTGTGCCATGTGGGTAGCTCCCTGGCCGGCTGGGGATCGAACTCATGCTGCAGAGGCTGTGGATAGCTTCACAGTCCTGTGCTTAACCCCTTGCGCCACCAGGAGGCTCCCCCTCAGCAGTGTATTTCAGTCAATCTGCCTGTTCTGTTCCCTACTCTGTTTCTGGTGAATCCTCTCAAACCTCCCTCCCGGGACCTCTGGCCTGTTCCCAGTTCTTGTATGTATAAATAAATAAATCTTAAAAAAATAAAGCTTCCTGGGGCCTCCCCGGTGGTGCACCAGGTTGAACACAGCGCTGTGAAGCTGTTTGCAGGCTCCATGGCGCTGGTTCGATTCCTGCCCAGCCAGGGAGATTCCCACATGGCACAACAGACCTCTTCTGTCTCGCCCACTGCTCCCCTCAGCAGTGTACTTCGGTCAATCTGCCTGTTCTGTTCCCCACACTGTCTGTGGTGAATCCTCTCACCCCCCACACCTCTGGTCTGTACCCTAGTTCTTGTATACACAAATAAACAAATCTTTAAAAAAAAAAAAAGCTTCCCTCATTCTAGATTTTATACATATACATACCAAATATATTATTTGTAATTTGTTGTGATTATTTTTATATTTTCATTAAAATGTTTTTGATCCACTTGGAATTTTTTCTAGTATAAGGTATGTGCTATGACTTCAATTGTTTCTTTAAATTCTGAGATGGCTTTCCAGATGTTCCAACACAATTTAAAATAATCTGCCTTTCCCACTCTGAACTGGAATGCTACCATTATCAAATATCCTAAATGCATCTGTGAATTTGGGCCAATAATGGAGTTTTCTATACTATTCTATTATTTGTATGGCTATTTTTAGGTTGGCATTCTTTAAATGCAGATTTATAATTAATGTCAATATTGTAGGGGAGGTAACATAATTTTCCTTTACTTTTCTGAGATCTTGGCTGAGATGCCTATAATAAAAGGCAGATTAACAAGAAAAAAACATATAAACCTCACTTATACTGGGGGAGATACAACTGGGAAAGTGAGAAACAAAGAAGTGACTTAGAATTCAGGCTTAAATATCTACCATCTTATTTGGCAAAGGAGAGGGAAGATGTAGATGTGTTAGGAGAGAATAAATGAGTTATAGGAAAAGTTAATAAGTCTTTGGATGAATAGATGGAAGGTACGTCAACTTGCTACAAATTTATACGGGTGTATTGTTGACTTCTAGTCTCCTTTCTTGTGATGAGTCAGCCCTTCTTGGTTGATGAAACTCCTGGGAAGGAGATCTATGATAATTGAGTTCCCTTTATCTTAGGCAGATAAGGGGAATTCAGAGAAAGCATCTCCTTGGATTTGTCGTCTTTCAAGTACCTACAGCTCAAGATAAATCAATATGCCATTGATTTATTACATTGGCCTCATTGGGATAATCCAAAATAACTTTCCCATCTCAAGATCCTCAACTTGATCACATTTGTAAAGTCCTTTTCACCTTGTAAGATAATACATAATTCAACAGTTCCAGGGAATGGGGCATGGGAATCTTTTGGGGGACTATTATTCTATCACACCAAGACAAAATCCTTACCTTAAAAGAAATCAGTCTCGGGCTTCCCTGGTGGTGCAAGGGGTTAAAGCACTGCACTATGAAGCAATCAGCAGCTTTGGCAGTGTGAGTTCGATCCCAGGACGTCCAGGGAGCAACCCACATGGCGAGGCAGACCTCTCCTGTCCTGTCCACTGCTCCCCTCAGCAGTGTATTTCAGTCAGTCTGTCTGTTCTCTTCCAACTCTGTCTCTGGTGAATCCTCTCACTCCCTGCAAGTCTGGCCTGCACCCCAGCTCTTGTATGCATAAATAAATAAATCTTTTAAAAAAAAAACAAGTCAGTCTCAGAGGACAGATACCTATATTTATAATAACAGCTATAAGATTATATTACTTATATATTAAATAATTAAACAATGTACTTATATTGCCTATTTTATATACATATGCACTCAAATATATAATATCATTGTATGTATTTACTGACTTCCACAGATGCTATGAAGTTACCTAACTGTACCAGAGGAAGGAAGAAAATCTTCAGGAGGGAAGTTCCTGCAATCAAGTGATGTTTTGAACAGGAAGAAAAATGAAGGATATTTTGATAGAGGGACTAGTGCACACAAGGTGTGAAAGTGGGAGGAAAGGAATCATTTTAACAACCTGAGTCTAGAACCTAGACTATTAGCAGTAGAAGAACTAAGAAGGTCACAAGATTTGTCCTTCTTTTCTGGGACCTAAATTCCTTCAGATAATCTAATGAAATGTATATACCCTCTTACCAGAGCAATTAAATGCACACTCTTGTATAAATTTTTAGCTGCTAAGGAACTTCTATGCATCCCTGATATGACATTAAGCTATAAGTACTGATGGATTAGATGATTACAAGGAAGTGACTGACTTGACTTGTATTCTAGGAGAGGAAAAAAGAAAATCAATAGGACGAACTGATCATTGAGGAAGTGGGAATCAAAAGAGAATAATTTAGAACCCAGGGCCTCCCTTGTGGCGCAAGGGGTTAAGCGACAGCACTATGAATCAATCACTGCTACTACAGCATGAATTTGATCCCTAGCCAGAGAGGTGACCCACATGGTGGAGGAGACCTCTCCTGAATTCACCTCGCCCACTGCTCCCCTCAGCAGAGTATTTCAGTCAATCCTCCTGTTCTGCTCCCTACTCTGTCTCTGGTGAATCCTCTTACCCCCCACACCTCTGGTCTGTACCCAGTTCTTCTATGCATAAATAAATAAATCAGAAAAGAAAAGAAGAAAAAAGAAAACAGAAAAGAAAAGGGTGTAGGGCCTCCCTGGTGGCGCAAGGGGTTAAGTCTCAGCACTATGAAGCTGTTAGCAGTCAGTGCAGCACAAGTTCCATCCCTGACAAAGAAGCTAACCCACTTGGTGCAACAGACCTCTCCTGTCTTGCATGCTGCTCCCCTCAGCAGTGTGCTTCAGTAGATCTGCCTGTTCTGCTCCCCACTCTGTCTCTGGTGAATACTCTCACGCCCCCGCACCTCTGACCTGTATCCCAGTTCTTGTATGCATGAATAAAAAAATCTTTTAAAAAAAATTTAGAGGCCTCTCCGGTGGTGCAGTGGGTTGAGTGCAGTGCTGTGAAGCTGCAGGTTCAATTCCTGGGTGGCCAGGGAGATTCCCACATGGCGTTGCAGACCTCTCCTTTCATGCCTGCTCCTCCCCTCAGCAGTGTATTTCGATCGTCTGCCTGTTCTGCTCCCCACTCTGTCTCTGGTGAATCCTCTCACCCTCCCACGCCTCTGGCCTATACCCCAGCTCTTGTATAAAAATAAATAAAAATCTTTATATAACAAAAAATTTAGAGCCCAAGTTAAGCAAATGATAGATAAAAAAACAATTGTGACACACTCAAAAGAATTTTGGATGGAGAAATAATCCCTGTTACTTTTTTTTTTTTAATTTAAAAAATTTTTAAAAAAGATTTATTTATGCATACAAGAACTGGGGTACAGACCAGAGCTGTGGCGGGTGAGAGGACTCACCAGAGACAGAGTGGGGAGCAGAACAGGCAGATTGACTGAAAAGCACTGCTGAGGCGAGCAGCAGTCGAGTCAGGAGAGGTCTGCTGCGCCATGTGGGCTGCTCCATGGCCGGCTGGGGATCGAACTGGTGCAGCAGACTCTGCAGATAGCTTCATAGGTTGTGTGTTAACCCCTTGCGCTACCAGAGAGGCTTTTGAATTATCGGATGTGTAGTTGAGGGCTGAGATGGTCTTACTCTAGGTTTCCTGACTTCACTGATATGGAAGGTTATTATTATTACTTATGAGAGAGGACACAGAGGCACAAAATTAGGTTTGGTACAAAAGGCAATGAGTTTAAGATCAGATTATTTGAAGTGACTTGGTTTGGCACTCAGGAAAGAAGTATTAGTTGGAGAGCCTTGTGGGAGACACCAGCATGTACTGGTAGTTGACACGTTCTGGTCACTTTAAAGAAAGAGACCTGTATAAAATGGTCTTCCTAACTCTACTCTTTTTTAGCAAACTTAAATCATTTGTTTCCTAGACCTCTCAGGTTAATGAAAAGCCTCAATCAATACAGATGAATGAGATGAAATCAGTATAAATAGCCAAGAGCATTCCCTAGTGTAGAATCTTTGACTAAATAAACTCTAGGTCTGTTGACCACAGTTTGGTTCTAGTCACAGCTGTGTCTTTGTCTTCACATGCTCCTCTGCACAGTGTTCTACTGTAAAGAGACCACACACTAAAAAAGTTATCTGTTCAGTATTTTATTCTTCAGCATCCACCCAAATTGATTTCTACTTTGAGAGCTAGTACACTGAAGAGTCTTCTCTTTTTAAAAATGGAGTCTTGGGCCTCCCTTGGCGCAAGGGGTTAAGATGCAACCTATGAAGCTATCTGCAGTCACTGCAGCATGAGTTCTATCCCCAGCCAGGGAGCTACCCACATGGCATGGCAGACCTCTCCTGACTCGCCTGCTGTTTCCCTCACCAGTGCTTTCGGTCTGTCTGCCTGTTCTCTTCCCTGCTCTGTCTCTGGTGAGTACTCTCATCCTCCTGCACCTCTGGCTTGTACCCCAGTTCTTGTATAAATAAGCAAATCTTAAAAAAAAAAAAAATGGAGGTTTTTTTTTTTGCAATGACTATAAGGGGAGAGTAACAAGGGGGCAAATAGAAGCTTCTTTCTTTGCTGGTTCAGTTCCTTTCCCCCTAGAAAGTGATGAACTTGGAAGCTGTCCCTTTTAAAGTCACACATGGCCTCATGATTATGAAGTTGAATTTTCAGAAGTAGAGGAATTTGTTAAAAGAGAAAACAATTTTTGAATCTGTATTTACAAATACTCTGGTACCATCTGACTCAGCAAAGTTTAAGCTATTTCTAGGCAAGAAACAGTCCTTTATTTATTTTAAAGATTTATTTATTTTTATACAAGAATTGGGGTACAGGCCAGAGATGCTGGGGGTGAGAGGATTCACTAGAGACAGAGGGGGGAACAGAACAGGCAGACTGACTGAATACACTGCTGAGGGGAGCAGCAGGCGAGACAGGAGAGGTCTGTCCTGCCATGTGGGTTTCTCCCTGGCTGGCCGGGAATTGAACTCATGCTGCAGTGGCTGCGGATTGCTTCATAGGTTCCGTCTTAACCCCTGAGCGACCAGGGAGGCCCAAGAAACAGTCCTTTTAAAGCACACAGCTACACTTTAGATGGATTTCACATAAGATTCTGTTTAAAGAGAGGTTATATCTACTATATACCAGTTTAAAAATTCTGACCTAACAAAATTAAATGCATTTATAAATCCTTGACTTTTTAGATATAATGTTTATAAATAAAATATCTAATTTTGTTCAAGACATAATACTGAATTCTTTTTCAAGATTTATTTTATTTATGTGTGAATACAAGATCTGGGGTGTAGGCCAGAGATGTAGGTGGTGAGAGGATTCACCAGAGACAGAGTGGGGAGCAGAACAGGTGGATTTACTGAAATACACTGCTGAGGGGAGCAGCAGGTCACACAGGAGAGGTTTGCTGCATTGTATGTGGGTTAAACTCCCTGGCCCAGGATTGAACTCAGGTCACAGCAGCTATAGCATATTAGCACTGAGACTTTAACCCCTACGCCACCAGGAAGGGACTATAATACAAAATTTAACACCAATTTTAAAAGTTCTAAAGCTATCACAATACTCAGTGGCTAGAATTGGGCTATTTGATGGATTCTTGAGTCTTGAAGTTGAATCTTGAATGGATGTCTATTTCAAGAAAGGTAGAGAGCAACTCGGATGAAAAATAATCTAGCATATTGTAGGAATTATAGAGCGAACAAATCATAATAAACTGAAGAGAAGAGTGGCTTTGCTGGAAGTTATGGGGGATATATTGCTTGCAAATGTGATCCAGAAACTCAGACAATTCAGTTTACCGGATAACTTCCAGTGAACTAATCATTATTAATGCTCTATCGCTATCCTGCAAAGAAATTACTAAGGGTGCTGTGGGTTAAGGTGAATTTCATATGCTATTATTATTTTTTTAAAGATTTATTTATTTATGCATACAAGAGCTGGGGTACAGGCCAGAGGTGGGGGGGCGGTGAGAGGATTCACAAGAGACAGAGTGGGGAGCAGAACAGGCAGATTGACTGAAATACACTGCTGAGGGGAGCAGTGGGTGAGTCAGGAGAGGTCTGCTGTGCCATGTGGGTTGCTCCCTGGCCAGCCGGGATTGAATTGGTGCTGCAGAGGCTGCAGATAGCTTCATAGGTTGCATCTTAACCCTTGCGCTACCAGGGAGGCCCCATATGCTATTATTCTTAATGACAAACCCCAAATACACAAGTAGTCAATTGTAGGGGCAGGAATAACCACAGTGTGGGTTTTCTGATCCAGCAGACCGGGTAAAGGAGTCAGAGTCCTCAGTGGTTTTGCAGGCTTTTATTGGGATTACCAGGTACAGGGCAGGCAGGGGTGCTGGGGGGCCGGGAGGCTGGCAGTCCTCCCAGCCCCCAGCAAATCCGCACACTCTCTGGGCAATCTGGCGTTCTCTGCTTCTGCTTCTTTGCTTCTCTCTTGGCTTCTCTTCAGCTTCTCCTGCTTCTTTCTCAGCTTCTGCTGGCATCCCTGTGACACTGCCCTTAAAAGCACAGTCTTAGCCCAGGTGAATCCCATCTACCTATGCCCACACCCTATTCCAGGTGCCCACCATCAGGCATGCATTCAGGACCTCAAGGATCCATCATCTATTCTGATGGCGGGAGGGCAGAAAAGTCTGACATTTTCTTTGCCCTACAGTCAATGTTAAGTTATGTTACCAATTGTAGGGTAAATAATTGTCAGACTTTTCTGCCCTCCTGCCATTAGATTAGGTGCATGCCTGATGGCGGGCACCTGGAGTAGGATGTGGGCATATGTAGGTGGGATACACCTGGGCTGAGATTGGTCTTATAAGGGTGGTGTCCCAGAGAACAAGCAGGAAACGACCAGGAAGAACGAGCAAGACGGGAAGAGAAGCAGCAAAGAAGCAGAGACTATGAGAGAATGCCAGAGAGTCCAGAAAGAGTTCCCAGGGGGCTGGGAGGCCTGCCAGCCTCCCGGTGCCCCACCTTCCCCTCCCCCCTCACCTGGTAAAATGGCCAATAAAGCCTGAAAAAGCCACCAAGGGCTCTAGGACTCCTCCTTCACCCATCTGCTGGGATCATAGAAAACCTGACCTGTGCCCTCCTGCTGCTACACCATGGAATATAATGGGACCATTAAAAAGGAGGGGGTAATTTTACTCATAAGAA